AGTCCCGGGCCTCACCCGAGACAGGAGGCTTCCAGCCCCACGGTGACCCGTGGACAGCCTGGTGCGGGTCCTCGTTGACGGAAACGTCATGCGGCGCACGCCTGTCATCATGTGACGCACCACACACTGCATGACATCACGACTGCCAACCAGACCTGACATGCTGCTGTAGGGCTATGTGACGTGCTAATTACAAGCAGAACATGTACCGGTATTTACATGTCATAACTGTAACCAGAGCACACATAATGGACAGCACGTATTCACGCACAATAATACGCGGTGCCGTGTTGGTGTAACTCACTTGCTTCTGGTTGGTGGCAATATGGGGTCCCATACCCCCCTCCCTTCCCCCTCCCCCCAGTGCCCGCTCCACAACGGCACCATCCCACACCCCGTCGGACCTACCCCTGCCCCCTGCCCCAGGGGAGTCTGTGAGTGCCAGGGAGCAGATGGCGCCGCTGACTCACCTCCGCAGCAAATGATGGCCGCCACGAACAGGGCGATGTCGCTGTCGTCCAGCTCCAGGGCGTTGAACTTCATGGCGAAGTCGAACTTGGGCTCCATGATGTCGCAGAAGGGCTTGCGCAGGCTCTTGAGGAACTCGCGGGTGATGAAGCCGCTGCCGCAGGCCACCAGCATGCCGTCCTTGTTCATGACGGACGCCAGCATGGCGAAGATGGCCTCGTACACGCCGTACTTGAGCAGCGTGACCTGGTCGTTGAGGTCCAGGCCCGCGAAGCCGGGGATGGCCTTGGCGAACTCCGTGAGCTCCGTGACGGTCTCCACGGACGTGCACTGGCAGCAGTGGAAGATGCGCACCTCCGCCTCCTTGTTCTGGATGCCGTTGGCCACCAGCTTGGCCACCAGCGTCTTCTCGGCCATGCACAGCGTCTCCATGTCGTGGATGACGAAGGGCTGCAAGGAAAGCAGGGCCCAGTCAGGCGACCGGCGACACCCGTCCTCCTGCCGTGCACCCCAATCGCCGGGAGAGCCGCGGCGGGTACAGAGCGCGGTCCCCGTCCTTAAAGAACCTCAGATCAGTGGGGACGAGGGGAGCTCAACGGAGAGCCAGCAGCAGGGTCAGGGGACACGCGTCACCGCCTGACCCCAGGGGTGGGGGGTGACACTGCTCAGAAAGTGAGGTACGGACTTTGGCACGAAAGCTAACGAGACAGTATTGGCAAAGCGCTTTCACTGCGTTAGAACCTTCTCCGGATCCTGACGGCTCCGGTAGCCGCCGGTTACGGCCCTGCCCGGTGGTACCACCCGGGGACTTCACAGAAGCGATCTATCTGACGCCAGAACACACAACTCAGAAGGTCGGCGTTCGTGGGAGATAAGCAAACAAGCCGGTCAGAGCCCCGCTCTGGGGTAACGGGAAAGCTGGGGACGGCTTTTCCCGGGCACGGGACTGACCCCTTCCCGTCAGAGCCCCAACCCTGGACCAGCTGACAAGCCCCGTGGCACAGGCAGGCCTGGCTCCATGGTTGAGCGTCGACCTGTGAACCAGGAGGTCACAGTTCGATTCTGGTCAGGGCACAGGCCCGGGTTGTGGCTCGATCCCCAGCAGGAGGCAGCCGATCCATGATTCTCTCATCATCGATGTTTCTCTCTCTCTCCCTCTCCCTCCCTCTCTGAAGTCGAGCAATATATATATATTTATATGTTTAAAAAAAGCTACAGAGCAACTGGAGCTAAAACACCTGGAAACTTGCCCAACTTCCACATTGGTGGTGAGACTTTAAAAACCCACGCAGCTGAGCCTTCCTTTCGGAACCTGCCCTTGACGCTCAGGTCTGAGCCTGCTCACATCTGACATCAGAGGTGGCCGTTCCCAACGCGTAAGCAGTCGTCAGAGTGTGAGCAGCGCGGGGCAGACAGCGCCCGGCCCCC